TGCAGTTAATCACCTCTGCACGCTCGTCCATTCATGCCTAATGGGTATTGCTTTTTTCTTTTTAATATTATTATTTTCTTTTTAAAAACAAGCTGAAAACTGACTGTTGCTGCTTCAGGATTAAATAACCCTCTCTGCCTTCGCCCGAGCTGAGGTCTGTTTGCTGCTTCTCCTGCGTCGTAAAGAGGATACCAGGGTATTTGTAGAGTAAATGTCATGTTTGGTGTGTAGGTGTTTGCTTCTCTTTTAGTCTCCCCAAAGTTATGGTTGCAGTTTCTGCCGCCCACGCCGCTCTGGATGCGTGTGAATGTACACGTGAATGCTAATGCGGCGCTGACCCGGCCCGCTGCCTGTCAGAGCGTCTCCTCTGCTCTCTCTCTCTCTCTCTCTCTCTGTGTGTCGGGTCACGGATGTCAAGGTTACTGGGGGTCGGTTTCCCACCGGGAGCACCAACAACAATGCATCCAATAAGAAGCTTTTGTTGTGTTTTATATCCTATCAGCAGGAGTGGAAAAACACTGGAGGAGCTCTTTCGGTCCTAATTACGCCTCGGGCCGACGTCGCAGGAGCGACACGACAATGAGGAAGTTGCTCAGCAAAGTGATGATGCAGAATTTTACCCCGTTCTCCCTAAATGTTAAGGGACGCTTTAATTGGGGGCTAAATATGGTCAGTGTTCCTACGCAGTCGCAGCAATTAGGCCACATGTTGGAGAAGTTCCTGTCACGTCGAGCTCCCTTATCTGAAGTTGGCTGAAACAGCAGCTTCGTCCTCCGAGGAACGAGCTCGGAGATCGTTTGTCTTTGGTGAAAACAAAAAAGCGCGACCTGCTTATTATTGTTCACGAGCCCAATCCGTGAGTTTCTCTTTAAACAGGTATTTGTCCGCCGAGAAGAATGGACGGGCATTTTATCCTCACGGCTAAATGGGCTGGTGTTGAGGAGATGAGAGGAAGAGGTGTGAGGAGGCCACTCACCCAAATCCACGGCTATTGTGCCATTAGGCAGGAAAATACGGACAATATAAAACATAAAAGAGCGGGCGGACATTATTTCCCTCTAAACAAACTGTCCTTTGAAGCGTAGTTTTGCTAACTGACGACGTATCCTGTACACCAGGACCACTCTCCGGCTCGGTCCTCCTATCTCATTTTACTCCCTAATAATGGCTTTTATCTTCCGCAGCCAGACACTTTTTATGCCCCTCCTGCCCTTTACGTTTTCAGCCCTGGCCTTTTGTCAGTGTTAGTCTGGTGAATATCATCCAGGGTGGAGTGCTTAGCCACTCCGTTCCTTCCCCCCCACACGAGCAGATTATAAAGAAATGCTCGAATGTACAATTTTTAATTAGAAAAAAAACACCACTGAGAGACAGCCGTAACTGTGTTTATGCAGGTGCTGCTGAGGGGAACATCTGAGGGAAGACATGAAGGAAGCGCAGCTTTGTGCTCCTGCAATATGATACTGTTTATTCATTCAACCGTCCTTGACTTTGACGAGGTTTGAAGCCACTGAAATGCTAATTATTTCACTAAATGGTGCAAAGCTTTCATGTTTCACCAAAAATCTCTTCATTGTAGCCGTCCAGAAAACACGGCGCCGGGATGCAGCGGTGAAAGTTGCTCGCTGAAGAAGCCTCCGTTATATATACATACATGTGTGTCTGCTTGCATTAATTCAGCTCCACTTTATTTCTCACCCTTCTCTCTCTTATTTTTTCCTTCTTCCTCCCTCTGACCCACCTCGCCGTCATGTATGTGCCACCGTCCCATACGATCCCCGGTTTGTGTGCACATTTTGTTTTTTGTGCTTGAGCGTCTTTGAAAACCAGAATGCTCTCTCCTGACAAAGTGGTTTAAACTTGGCGTAGTATTTTTAAAGAGTCAACAGGGTTCGGCTCTTTACTGGAGTGCTTTACATTGGAGGCACTCTCAGGCTGAATCAAACGCGCTGCTCTTCTTCTGTATACCGTCTCCTTGTTTTTATGATAAACAGGGCTCACCTACATGTCGACAACAAACGCGCAGCCTCTCCGCGTGTCTTGTTTATGAGCGGGAGGAAGCATATGCTGCTCCTCACCGGCAGCTTTTTTCCCCACTGCGATCCTCTCCGCTCTCCACTCCCCGCCTTAAATACTTCTCGCCAATCACCTTGAGAGCACGCGAGGCGTCTTTGATTTATTGTACCGGCCGGGCTGCTTCTCCATCTTCGACCCCGGCTTGTCACAAGGCGGCTATAATTGGGAGACGCTCATGACCCACCTAACACAGCAGCCCAGTCGGAGGGGGTGGCATCCTTGGGAATTCTCCATTTCTCTCTCTCTCTCTCTCTAGCGTTTTTTTTTCTTTTCTCCCTCTTTTCTTTCTTTCTTTCTTTCTCTTCCAGGGAAAGTAGGACACCCAGCAGCACCATTAATTGTTTTGCCCTTTATATCTCAAAAACAGTAGAGAACAAGAGAGAGAGGAGGGTGGCTGAAGAAATAAAGGACACCCCAGCCTCACCGTCTTTGCGCTCTCCTTTTGCTTTGCAGGAGGCCACGGCCAGCTTCGCGCAGTGGGAGAGGCTGATGAAGGGCCTGGGGTCGGGGGCCGTCGCCACGGACAACCCCTTCACCGAGGTCATGAGCCTGATCACGCAGATGTACAAGCAAACAGCCATCGCCAAGGTAAAGGAGGAGCGGGGCAGGGCCGGCGTTGTTTCGCTCCGTGTCACCGCGGCGTAGCTTTTGAAGGATAACGCCGGGGATCCTGTGCATTTTTCTGAACCCTGCTGGAGGGTTTTGTGTGGGTATGCACGCCTTAAAGGGTTCCACTGTTGTCCAAATGATCAATGAGTCACACCGCCGCGCCGGGTAGCATGTAGCTTCATTATCATGAACACGTATACTGTAGTTTATCTTGACTCAAGGCCACATACGCCATCCGGCTGCTGCATACTCAATAATGCACCAAATGGGTAATAATCCACAGCCCCCTTCACATGCACTGTTTTCTCCTGTTTGGCTGCTGAAATCTGTACGATGTTATTTTGCGTTTTTAACAAATGAACAATATGTTGTCGATCCATGTTCGATAGCCCTTCTGTAGGAAACGTTTTGAGGGAAATTAAAAGCTGGATTTCGTTGCTCCATCCGTCCTCCTAAATCATTACCTATATCCCGAGAACGATGTCTGTTGGTGGTGAGCTGCTCACACCACCATCCCTGCTGCTATTTTTATTTTCCAGGCAGTACAAATGTAAACTTGTTAGCGCCCCAGAAAGAGCAACCTTGGTTTCGGTTTGACCGCCATGCATTTATTGAACACAGTGGTATGGTTTCCAGCAGACCGAGGCCTTGTGCACACCATTACAGATGCTGACCAGTGTCAAACATCTCCATACACACGAGAAAACAACTGGAAACGCTCCAACAAGCGTGGAGGTTAAGTCTATATCAACAGTACATGGAATACCAGAGACGACATCATTTCGTCATATCTGCAGACTTTAAACTGTGGCAGCTGTAGAACAAATATTATTGTGAACGCCAGAAGCTTCTGTGTTGCTGGTGAAGTGACGCAGCGACACTTGTAACTGCTAGTGCGAACCAAACGTAAGGAAACGGGTATGAATCATTACGTAAAGCATCAATAGGATTAAAACGTCTTCAAGAACCTACACGTAATCCAGAGGTTTTGAAAATCGGGCACTTTAACAACCTAAAGCACCGTCTGCGTGTGGATCAGAGGCCCAAAGCAAAATGTTTGTGTTTCCAAATATTCATATTAAAGTAGATGACTTCTGAATCTGATTCAAGAAAAACGTGTGATTCCTGTCAAGCAAACGAGTCGAGCAAAGTCTAAATCATGAAAATATGCATTGATCTGTCTCGTTCTTGCTTTGACTGTCAAGCCTGGTGTCTCTCAATGCTCTGAGGTACAACGGAAGTGAATAGTTGGACACTGATATTGCTCTCATGTCTGTCCGTTACATACTGTAAGCATGAATCTGGAAGCAGTTAGCTTAGCTTAGCATAAAGGCTGGAAACAGGAAAAACAGGCTTAGGGTTGACCCAGTCGATTCTAAAGCTTTGCAATCGCACCTTTCCACTAGATGTAGGCTCACACATGACCACCTATGAAATCTGAATTTCTGCAGTAGGAGCACAGGATCTGCTCTCCTAAGTGAAAGTCCTCCATCTAAACAGTCATATCCTCACTCCAGACTTTCATACTGCTTCATCAGCTCTGGATGAAAACCCCTGTGAGCTGATGTGATCGGTTTGATTCTCTTAATCCTGAAAACAGAGCAAAGAGGACCAACTGAAATGCAGTGTTTGTCCCGCAGTGCTGATAAAACAACACTGCCTACCCCAGCTTTAGTGGTGGATGGACTTCTTTCACTCTTAATGTGAAGCTAGAATCCACCAGACTGGCTGTTGCTTTATATTTACATACAGACATGAAAGTGAAACTCCTTCTCTACGTTAATTTAAAGTGGACATGAATCACTAGATGTAGACACCATCATTCACTAGATAGATACCTACTCTGAACATCCTCATCGGTTCGACACTATCAGCGAATAAAACACTCATCTGACTAACTCTGCTTCATGCCCTTTTAAACCGTAATGACGGGAATATTCACCTCGTGTTGCTAATAATGCTAATTAAAACACCCTTCGACTTGACATTTTTTGTCGCTTGCTTCCCCGACATTCTTAATAGTTTATCAAAATTAAATCAGCAGCGACGGGGAAGAAGTTTCGAGCAACTATTTGCTGAAGCTGCTCTGAAAATATCTCCTCACGTCGTCATAACGCTGGGCGAGCTGCATCTGCCCGGCGTTACGACACCCGGCAACAAATGCAGCTAAAAATTCAACCAGCTCTCTCGACGCTTTTCATCTGAGACATATGTGAGGTAAAGCTATCCCTTATAGCTTTACATAACTGTACTGCGTGAGAAGCACCGTGTTACTCTGCTGCTTCCCACAAAGATAATTTCCTTGAAGGGTTTTTTTTTTTTTTAACCTCCAGAAGTGCGACGCTTTAAAAACCTGAGCAACGTATAGGATCCAGGAGTTTAAATAGCCTTAAAATTGGCTAAATAATGTCGTTTTTTTAAATTCATTTTCATGTTTCAGGAAACGGCGAATTGATGGTACAGCATCGTTCTCGGAGCGCTTGGCCGACCACTCAGTGAGATCTCATGGGAAAGCATTGCCATGGTAACAGAGCCTAATGGTCACCAGTGAAAGCACTTAGACAAAGTAGGGAGTTATAACAGAGGTATTATTTAGTTGCGTCCAGCCTGGCATGATTACACCTTATATCAAAGTTACACACCGCACTAAAATAGCATCTCTGTGATGTTGTTGCTATGGAAACTCCGTCGGCTCTCGGTTTGAAGCGATGTTTTTTCTTTAATGAGAGAGAAATAAGCGATGTGAGAAGGGTGGCTGGATGCAGTTTGAGGAAAGGCTGGGGTCAGAGCGACTAGTGACGAGAGTCCGGCGTGTATTTACATTTCCTGTTCCTCGGTGGAAGCATTTCTCCGGCAACGTAGCTGTTCAACCTCTGATCTGCTTCCAGGCTGACTAACGTCGCTGCTCAGAGAACAGGCAGTTCCTCGGTCTCTTCTATTTGTAGTCGAGTAAACAGTTCCTCCAGATATAGCGTCCCTCTCCAATCATCTGCCATGTTCGAGGGCCGGCATTCCTCTCAATTAGCCCGACGCCCTCAGCCATGAGGAGCATGGCCCCGAGGTTAACGAAGACCGGAGATAACCACAGAATGCAATCATCGACACGCTACTCGCTCAGCCTGCCTCCGAGCTTGGATCTTTTTTGCGCTTGGTGTTGTTTGCTGATTGGATTTCTGCTCAGTTTAGCCTAACACTGGACCTCCTTTCATTACAAAGCCCCCCGCCCACTCACCCACCTCAAAGCCGATACTGCCGGCCGAGTCTCATTTCCTCTCCTGTTGGTTCTTAGAGTCAGACACACTTTCTCTACTTTAGAAAAAAAAAAAAAGAAGCCTTTCTTTCTTCTTTTTTTGGATCACCGGGAGGGGTGGAATGGCGAGATAGATTCACACATCTATGTCACTCTGACGAGCATCACGGCCCCTGCCTGCCTGCCAGTTCGCCTGGCGACGGAGCTGCCAAACGCCTTTGGGGTATTTTTGTTGCTTTACCCGCCAAGCATCTGCTCCCAATTACCCAGAGAGGACAGCTCTGATGCTGGACTTTAAAGCAAGCTAACGGGCCGCTTCAGACAGCCGAGAAGTTTGTGCACTAATTAAACTCAGCGGAAGGAAGCCGGCGAAGCCAAGCCGTCAGTAATGAGGACCCCCCAGATCAGAACGGGGTCGGCAGGCCTGGCGGAGAGATTCATTATCAGGCACATCGGCTAATTATCAGCAAGGCAAAGCAGAGGTTCTCCCACCAGAGCAGGTGTGATGGCTGCAGAGGTTGTCAGGTTGCAGGAGGTGTGGAGATTATAGGGGTGGGATTCACACCACAGAGAAGGGCCTGTCTCCAAAACCGTCTAGTAAGGGCTCTGTTTGACTCAAATCAAACCTCAGTATTTCTCACTAGTTGGTGCTATTCTTGGCTGCTTTATGGCCTGGGGCTCTGAAATGAGCCGAGTCCGGATGCTCAATGACACGCTCGTACAGCACATCCACTCCAGCTCTGCAGAAGGTAGCGGGAGCGGCCGCAGCCATCACAGTGTGATCGCTGGGCAGCAGCGCACGGTGAAGTGATAGATACGGATACCTGCGGGGTACGGTTAACTCGCTCGCTCTTGTGCTGTTTTCTTTTTCAGATTGTTAGCTTCACGCTGTCAATCAAGGTCGGAGGCTTCGGCAGAAACAAGCAAAAGTCTGTAAAATTTGCTCTGTGATGTTTTTAAGGCTTTGTTGCCTTTTGACTTCATAAATAAAACAATACTAACAGGTAGGAAAAAAATGCCAGGCATGAATAAAAACACAGTTATGTAAGAAAAAAAAAAGAGAGAGAGAGAGAAAAAGTCCAGAATGAAATAGTTGAGGAAGTGAACTTTTTACTTACTGCATTAATTCTGGGCTGCAGCTGTCACTGTGACAGGTAACCAGCCTAATATGTCTTTTTAGCAGTGTTTGCAAGACCTAGGAAATGTAAAATGCTCTGAAGGCAGTCACATAGACAGTAGAATCTCCTAAAATACCAGCCCAGTCAAATACACTCCAACCCTGATCGTGACATTATATCTGCATTATTCTCACTTTTACTTTCACAGTGAAGCCAGAATCTGTATCTCGCTGTTGGTTAATTCGGGGGTTTATCCGTCTGTTCATGTGCGAAAAAGGTGAATTTTGTTGTTTCTGGTGTCACCAAATCAAAAAAAAAAAGAAAGAGCGCACCAATCATATCGCCGAGTTGTGAGTTATTGATTTGCTCTCACTATCTTCGAGCTGACAAATGCGCCCCAGTCGCTCTGCGTGCTCTCTCCTTTTAAAGTCTGGATCTCTGGCATTCAATAGAGAATCGATCACACAGAAAGGATGCCGCGGTGATTAATTGACTTCTTCACTGATCTAGCCGGTTCCTCTGTGTGTGGTCGAGCGCTGAAGTGATGGATTCAGTAGCTCTCTTTCATCTGTGTCTATTTCTGTGTGTGTTCGGCCCAGGCGGGAGCTGTGAAGGACTACATTAAGATGATGCTGGAGGCAGAGCAGCTGAAGTTCCTGGTGTTCGCCCACCACCTCACCATGCTGCAGGCCTGCACCGAGGCCGTCGTCGAGGCCAAGGTAACCCGAGGCGCTCCGCAGGCAACTGGATCTTCTAAAACGTGTTAAAGGTGTAGTAAGCAGCGGCCGCGGTCGTGCCTGTAGGAGATGCAGCAGCACTGGCAACGAAGAGTTTGGGAATGATTTTAAAATTCCACTGGCTCACATCGAAGTTTTTTTTTTTTTTAAAGCAAGAGTTCACAAAAGAAGCAGCCGATCCATAACACGCTGCTGACGGAACAGAGTGTTCCATATTACACATACTGCATCAGACTCATTGGCCTCTTCACCCCCCAACCTTTCAGACCTCCGTAGCTGATTTTCCACTCTGCTGCTGCTGCTATGTCAACGCAGATACAGGATCCTCTGATGCATCTTTATAAGCACTCCCTTTTTTTTTTTTTTTACTGATTTGAACACAATACGCCAGTGATTACCGGGACACACTTATCTATTTATAGGTGTGTATGTATGACAGTATATACAGGATACCATGGGAGAAAATGTATGTATTTTATGGGGACTTTAGAAATGTAAAATGTGTGTGTAGATTCTCATGACTTCCAGCTAAACATGTACAGTTATGAAGTTCCAGCAGCAGGTTGAACACTAAACTTAAGGAACTATAAGATGAACGTACCCTCTGGGGCTGCAAAGTGAATCCCTTCAGTGCCCTGAACCTGCATTCTCTCTAACAGCCAGCAGGGGGCGACTCCTCTAACTGCAAAAACTCATCCAATTGTATATAAGACGATGAGAAAATGACCCAGCGTCTCACTTGTTCTGTTGCCTGTTTTCCTCATGAGTTTACAATCTCGATTGCTACCTTCGAGCCTCCTTCAATACAGCAAGATGCACATTTT